GCAGTTAGTTACGAGAAGATTTGTATGTAAGTAATGTTAGTCAGTGTTATCATGATTACTGTCTTTGTTATTTTTATTATTATTATAACTGTTGTATTACCAATTATTTAATTTCTTTTATTACTGTTGTTATCATAATCAAGTATTATTTTTATATTCATAACATTTTTAACAAACTTTGAGAAAGTAAAAATATTTGATAAGGAATTTAGCAATTAACAGGATAAAAAAGTCTTTTGTAAAGAATGAGGAAAAAGTTTTAAGTACAGACACATTGCTAGGGAGACTCATTTCTCACACATTCTTTTTTAGGTTTAAAGCTGCAGGGACATATGCAAAGTCTTGCATTGAAGAACAAAAAGAAAATAGAAACTATAGAGGAAATATGTGGCCTGGTACTGCTGAGATCATTCCTGAGACTACCCCTGCATATTTGGCAGTATGTTCAATATTATTATTTTTTTCTTCCATCATAATTACATCCTGCTTTCCTCTTTAAATTGAATGCCATCTAAGTTTTGGAACTTGTATTGCATACAATCTCCTACAATATCTAATGAATCCATTTTTAACAGAAAGGCTCCAAGGAACTCCTGGAGAGGCTGACATCATCAGTTCCAGCACCTAAAGCAAAGTGCCATCTGAGTAACTGTTGTTCAGTTCAAGGTCATGCTTTTGCCAAACAGGAAATTTATTTGCAGTAAGTTGTTCTACTTCTTATCACTAGTGTTTCATGCTCAGTTGATGCTTTCACTACTAAGTTCTCCTACAACTATTCAGTATCAGAATAATTTTTAGAATTGTTTCTTGAAGAAATTGTTTTCCTTTTTGGATATATTATTTCAGCTTTTACTTCTGTTCCTGATTCAGTTTACATTACTTACAGAGACCTTGAGTTTAAAGGTTATATAAATGTGACATGTGAGGAGGACTGCGTCATCAGTTTCCATCATGTGTGCTGGAAATCCGTGAAGGAACAAGACAAAGATGCCAAGAAAACAGAAAAGGTGATGCCTAATAACTAATATATGGATCTGACATTTGTCCATGTGATAAAGATATAATAATTAGTGTATGCAGCCAAAACATCCATTATTTAGATTAATAATGTATCTTTTTAAACATTTATATTTTCAGGATTTTCTAGGTACAGAATGCATAACTCCAGATTGTTCAGGCCTGATATATAGCATAACTATATATGACAATAACAATGAAATAAAATTGGAACTAGTTAAAGATAAAAAAAGAAATGACAGTACAGTAAAGGAAAAGAAGAAGAAGTAAGTATATAATGTCATGTTATTTCAACATCTAATCTAACCAATGATATTCCTGTGTTTTCATGTATCAAAATCTAATATTCAAATTATTCCTGTGCTTGGGATGAAATGAAGCCTAAAGAAGAGCATGGCTATCAATTAACTGTTCTGGGAATGGTTCCTATTAAACAGGGACAAGAAGAGAGAGAAACCACCAGGAACCAAACCAGAAACGCGTGAAAAGAAGAAAGAGAAGCAAGGAGGTGCAAGCATGGAAGCTGCTGGATTAGAACAGGTACTTTGGAATCTTGGTGACTTGATGTTCAAATGTATCTTTTAAACATTTTTCAGAAGGGGCAGAACTGAATCACAAGTTATTTTGTTCTAGTTATTAGGAATATAACTGTTTCTTTCTCTTGAGCAATTCAGCAATCATCATTTACCGCTCAGTTATTTCTCTTCTAACTTGCCCATCTGTCCAGCATGTAATTTGATGTGATTACAGCAAATAATATTACATATCAAATAGGCTCATTGCTCTAAATTTAGAAGGAGAATGAGTATATTCACAGTGCAGTTTCGATTATATATTTGTTAGTTGATATAATCAAAACTGATCAGAGACATATCTCTTGCACTGTGAAGATATTCATTCTCATTCAAACCTTTTATCAAATTATCTCATATAACAATGCATCTCAAATTTCTCTACTTGAGACAAAACAGATACAGTATTTTTTTTTTCCAGAAAGTACACTTTAATGACACAGTAAAGGATCCCGATGTGAGAGATACCACACAAGAAATGGAGTAAGTATGTCTCATTGTTATTTAGATGTAATTATACAATGTCTTTGAAACTAAGTACATGTATATTGTTCATTTAAAATTACTTTGTTTTTCAATTTAGCTAATTCCTGTCTGCTATTACTAATATTTAGAAAAAGTTCCCATAACTGTAACTGAGCACTATTTAGCAATTCTAATAGAAGTTCTATAAATATATGATAATTATTATATTATTATGATTATATATAGTTACAAAAACACTCTGTATTCATGTAGGGAATTGCAGTAAGAGTGGCTAAAAAGGGATCAGTTAATCTTATATTACTTGTCCTAAATATGGTTAGTATAATAGCTTATTCTTACCCATACCAAATAAGTTACTATGGGTACTAAACAAATACTTAGTTCATGTTAGTTTGAAAAATTAGCAAACTATTGAATAAATTAATCTCTGATATATATTAAGTTCAAACTGCATGATGAAGTTCTACTAAAAGCCATTCTGCTGTGCACATATTAAACCTTTTTGAAAATGTCTGGAAGTTAAAAGATAATGAGAGAATTTTCTATTAAAAGCCAATCATCTGCTTCAGATCAACTGTTTCCAAAGCTCCTGCTCTGCCAATTGATCCTGAAAGCCTGGAATGGACAAATGTTACTGTGCTCAAGCCGTTTGCTGAAGAAGAACAGACGGACGAGGCTAAATCCATAAAGAAAAAGAAGAAAAAGAAGAAAAAGAAAGCCACACCCCAAGCTGATCTTTTAGGAGATCCGCTAGATGCATCTGAAAATGTTGAGTAAGTTCATTTCCTCTTCATTCATTTTTTATTTTTGAGATGTTGCTGTACTAATGTGTGTGGATAGCTCATGTACCCGGAGATCCTGTACCCTGAGGAAAGTTGCTATAAAAAAAATACAGATGATATTATTTGCATTTGCTTGGTGTTAACCCATTGCCACCGGGAAAAATGAACAAAAAATGGGGGAAATGCAATACTCATTTTTTATATTTTTGTGAAATATCTCTGTCCATAGATGGCTCTGCTAGTACTGATTTCACCTTTCCTTGAATTGGCGGGAAAAGACGTATTCTTACTAGTGATATAAATATAGATGGTGTTATTTTTAACAGCAAATTAGGATAATGTTAAATATTTTCGTAAATCGATGAAAAGGGTGAACGGGCGAGACAGGCAGTACTCATAATTGGCTCATTGGATACTTAGTACAAGTGTAGCCATCTATGTGTAAAAACAATCGAACAAGTCGACTCACAGTGGGCATGGCATGTACGTATATGCCATCCCCGGCGGCAATGGGTTAATACATGAGCTTATATTAAAGAACCTTTGACTGTAAGAGTGGGGTCTGAATGACATGTAATGCATTCAAAGATGATTGAAGTGTAAAAAAAAAAAATCGTATGTGTAATAAAATAACTTGATCTGCATAGATTTTACAAGTTATATATAGTGACACATATTAATACAGTGCCTCAATACACTTCCCCAGGAATGAATATGTAGCACGTTTAAAATTACTGAAGCAGGAGAAAGAAGAGAAAATGATGTCCAATGCACAACTAAGGAAACTGAAGAGGGCAAGAGCTCTAGAAAAGAAGAAAACCCTAAACAATGAAGCTTCCGATGATGTGGGGGAACTGCCATCTGAATGTCAGCATGTGCCACCGGTATGTTAGTTTCTTTGGTCTGATACTAGAATTTGTATTATTGTGTCTTATTTTTGTCACTCAAAAAAGTTTTCTAAATGAAGATTTTTTTTTTGTCTGATGTTTTACCTTCTATATAGCTGTTACTTTTGACATTTACAGATTGACCCAAACAACCCATTCTTTATACCAGAAGAGCTTAGAGAAGATAATGTGAAATTTGAGCAATACTTAAAAGGAGAAAAATTTGGTGGAAAAACTTTAGATGATCCACCACCGAGAACAGTTGTTCCTTGGTAAGTATACAGAAAAATAGGTTAGAAATATTATTAAGAAAAAATCACTAAGTCAGAAAAGGAAAGGGAGGAGAGAAAGAGAAAGGAGAAAGAAAGAGATTTGGATAAATTAATGGTGAGCAAAAGAAAGGGGGTTACAGAGGTAGAGAAAGGAGGGGAATGGGGAAAAAAGAAAGAGGCAGAAAGAAAACTGTTTGGTATCATTATCTTTGCTTCTAGCCGATGGTATCTTATTGCCATTTTCTTTGTTTTGTCTTGTTATTGAGTGCAAAGCCTGTATTGATTTAGATCATACAATAAGTAAGTCTAACAAACTGTCCTTTAATTATTTTTCATGAAGAGAAAGCATAAGTTTTGAGTATTGCATCTGTGTTATTACTTGCAATATTACTTCAAAGTTTTCCTTGATTTTTGAAAATATAAATCAACTATATTGAAATTGCAAAGGCAGAAATGCACTGACTTGTCACTATGCTACAAATTTTACATTCAGGATGCAAGCATGGAATGATTTTCCAATACAATCCATGTATCAGAAGATCTGTACTAATTCTTCAAATTCTTTTTCCAGTTATGATGGTGACATTAGTATAAATATCCCAAGTAGGCTTCAAGAGACTGATAAAAAAAACAAAACAGAATCCACCAGTTCTCCAGACAGTAATGAAGACTTAGTCACGGGAGCTGAGAGTGCAGCATGTGCTGATCTGAGAGCAGAAATTCTTAATATAACATGCTCTGATGTTGATGTCGATGTTACATGTTCAATTTGCCTGGAACCATATGATGATTTTGTCTCGGAGACCCTTGACTGTGAACACAGATTCCACCGCAAATGCATAAGATATTGGTTAAAACAACAGTCAAATTGCCCTAACTGTCGGAAATTTGCACTAACAGAGGAAGACTATCCATCATTATTAGATGCTAGAAAATGGTTATTAGAATGATATTCAAAGGGTAAAATTATTGGTAGTGTGCACTGTCTACTGTTTTCTTTGTACTACTACTACTACTACTACTACTACTACTACTACTACTACTACTACTACTACTACTACTACTACTACTACTACTACTACTACTACTACTACTACTACTACTACTACTACTACTACTACTACTACTACTACTACTACTACTACTACTACTACTACTACTACTACTACTACTACTACTACTACTACTACTACTACTACTACTACTACTACTACTACTACTACTACTACTACTACTACTACTACTACTACTACTACTACTACTACTACTACTACTACTACTACTACTACTACTACTACTACTACTACTACTACTACTACTACTACTACTACTACTACTACTACTACTACTACTACTACTACTACTACTACTACTACTACTACTACTACTACTACTACTACTACTACTACTACTACTACTACTACTACTACTACTACTACTACTACTACTACTACTACTACTACTACTACTACTACTACTACTACTACTACTACTACTACTACTACTACTACTACTACTACTACTACTACTACTACTACTACTACTACTACTACTACTACTACTACTACTACTACTACTACTACTACTACTACTACTACTACTACTACTACTACTACTACTACTACTACTACTACTACTACTACTACTACTACTACTACTACTACTACTACTACTACTACTACTACTACTACTACTACTACTACTACTACTACTACTACTACTACTACTACTACTACTACTACTACTACTACTACTACTACTACTACTACTACTACTACTACTACTACTACTACTACTACTACTACTACTACTACTACTACTACTACTACTACTACTACTACTACTACTACTACTACTACTACTACTACTACTACTACTACTACTACTACTACTACTACTACTACTACTACTACTACTACTACTACTACTACTACTACTACTACTACTACTACTACTACTACTACTACTACTACTACTACTACTACTACTACTACTACTACTACTACTACTACTACTACTACTACTACTACTACTACTACTACTACTACTACTACTACTACTACTACTACTACTACTACTACTACTACTACTACTACTACTACTACTACTACTACTACTACTACTACTACTACTACTACTACTACTACTACTACTACTACTACTACTACTACTACTACTACTACTACTACTACTACTACTACTACTACTACTACTACTACTACTACTACTACTACTACTACTACTACTACTACTACTACTACTACTACTACTACTACTACTACTACTACTACTACTACTACTACTACTACTACTACTACTACTACTACTACTACTACTACTACTACTACTACTACTACTACTACTACTACTACTACTACTACTACTACTACTACTACTACTACTACTACTACTACTACTACTACTACTACTACTACTACTACTACTACTACTACTACTACTACTACTACTACTACTACTACTACTACTACTACTACTACTACTACTACTACTACTACTACTACTACTACTACTACTACTACTACTACTACTACTACTACTACTACTACTACTACTACTACTACTACTACTACTACTACTACTACTACTACTACTACTACTACTACTACTACTACTACTACTACTACTACTACTACTACTACTACTACTACTACTACTACTACTACTACTACTACTACTACTACTACTACTACTACTACTACTACTACTACTACTACTACTACTACTACTACTACTACTACTACTACTACTACTACTACTACTACTACTACTACTACTACTACTACTACTACTACTACTACTACTACTACTACTACTACTACTACTACTACTACTACTACTACTACTACTACTACTACTACTACTACTACTACTACTACTACTACTACTACTACTACTACTACTACTACTACTACTACTACTACTACTACTACTACTACTACTACTACTACTACTACTACTACTACTACTACTACTACTACTACTACTACTACTACTACTACTACTACTACTACTACTACTACTACTACTACTACTACTACTACTACTACTACTACTACTACTACTACTACTACTACTACTACTACTACTACTACTACTACTACTACTACTACTACTACTACTACTACTACTACTACTACTACTACTACTACTACTACTACTACTACTACTACTACTACTACTACTACTACTACTACTACTACTACTACTACTACTACTACTACTACTACTACTACTACTACTACTACTACTACTACTACTACTACTACTACTACTACTACTACTACTACTACTACTACTACTACTACTACTACTACTACTACTACTACTACTACTACTACTACTACTACTACTACTACTACTACTACTACTACTACTACTACTACTACTACTACTACTACTACTACTACTACTACTACTACTACTACTACTACTACTACTACTACTACTACTACTACTACTACTACTACTACTACTACTACTACTACTACTACTACTACTACTACTACTACTACTACTACTACTACTACTACTACTACTACTACTACTACTACTACTACTACTACTACTACTACTACTACTACTACTACTACTACTACTACTACTACTACTACTACTACTACTACTACTACTACTACTACTACTACTACTACTACTACTACTACTACTACTACTACTACTACTACTACTACTACTACTACTACTACTACTACTACTACTACTACTACTACTACTACTACTACTACTACTACTACTACTACTACTACTACTACTACTACTACTACTACTACTACTACTACTACTACTACTACTACTACTACTACTACTACTACTACTACTACTACTACTACTACTACTACTTTTTTCACCAGCAAAAAAAAACAATGTGCTAGGTCTGTATAGGGCCAGAGTATGAAAGTTTCCTCAAAGTAACCAGTAGAGCTTTCATTTTATAAGCAAAAGACAGATACTTTTCAGTCTTTGTGTGTCTATTTTTCAAGGTAATAATATTCTTTAAATATATTTATAATAAATGCTTAGGTTATTGGCTGGAATTAAATACTCCATATGCATCAGTCAATATTCATTGAAATGCTGTACTACAAAAATATAAATTCAACAACATTAAATGCAAACAGATTCATGGCTTGTAAGTCTTTGGCATAGAATAAGATATGAAAAAGATATAGCTATATATATAAGTATATGTATGTATATAAACTCTTTAAAATATAACATAAATGCAACAAACAAATTTCTTATACTATCAATGTGACAATTATATGAAAAATATTCATAACTACTGCTACACACACCTAAATATTATCCTCATATCAAAACTATGTGCTTTTTGTGCAAATAATTCTCATTACCAGTAACTGGAACTTGTAACTTAATAAAATTATATCATCAAAATCACATATGCAAACCCTCACAATATCAACTTCATTACAGTCCTCAGCTACTTTACAAGCAAATTCTTTTTACTGAAGTAAGTACAATGATCTATCTTATCATGAGTAATCCAACCCTAATTCATCACTAGATATAATTTTCTTGATCACACTATGAAGCTCAAATCTCTCTCCTGAACAAATGCCAGCCCAGTCGTCACAGTTCAGGTTCCATGTCATCACTCCGGCAAAATGGCTGTCTTTTGCCCACTTTACCTAAGGAATAAAAAAGGGGCAAAGGGCATTACTCTTAGATGTTTCCCTCTCATCAATCAGTCATTTTTTGTTTGAAAAAATGTTAATGATTTTACTTCAATATACTTGTTTCCATTTCAAAATATGGGATGAAAGGGGAAAAATAATTTCCTTACATTATCAGCTTCGGAAAATTTAGAGAATTAACTTCCCAACTTATATCTGACCTAATATATACATATTACAACTACTACTACTACTACTATTACTACTACTACTACTACTACCATTAATAATAATAATAATAATGATAATAATAATGATAATAATAATAATAATAATAATAATAATAATAAAATGATCATCATAATCATTTTAATAATGGCAATAATGATAACTAATGATGATGATGACAATTATAATCATTCTTATTACTATAATAATAACAACTTTTAAAAATAATTATAATAATATCAATGATAAATATAATAAAAATAATCAAACATTAATATACCTTAACCAAAATCACATCAAAACTTTATCCCATGTCCATATTCTTACCTTTTCCCTGATGCTCTGAGGATCTTCATAAGAAACCCAGTCCCTTTCCCTCACGGCATAAGGGACCTTGCATGATTCATCAAAATGTCTTTCTGCTCCTTCCTTGTAGAATATGCAAGCTTCAGGGTATGACACAATGCCTGACAGCATGCCCTTTCCAACTGCTGGTGATCCAGTTTTGTTCCATGCTGCATTCAGCAATCTATGAGTAGAATGGAAATAGATGTGAGGATATATATATGTCTGTGTGTGTGTGTGTGTGTTCACTTAGTGGGGCATCTCTGAAAAATTCATGTCTTAAAAACTTACTGCAACAAAGGCTAGTGTTTCTGGTTATAAAACAATCTATTACCATTTCAACAAAATCAAAATAATCTCTATTCCACTCATAGAACCAAGTAACATGTGAAAAGGTGTCCCTTACTTCCATGTGCGGCCATAAGTAGGAATTCCAATGACTAGCTTTTCCTTTGGCATCCCTTTCTCCACCCAATAATCTGCAGACCACTGGATATTCATAGTTGCAAAGTAATATTTGTCATTTTTACTTTTAAAGAGTGGGGCATTATAGCCTGTAAATGGCAGATATGGCCAGAAGATGTGGTAATCATAACCCATCATTGACACAAAATCAACATACCTGGAAAATATAGATGAGATATTAAAACAGTTGACATAAATTTTGCAAGATTATGAATCTCTAACATCAAAGACAACAATAATAACTTTTATAATTCTTCCATATCTAACATAATAGCATGATTATTTCTGGCTTGAAACTTAGCATATCAATCCCAAATGCAAATGCAAAACCTTTGTGACAAATTCTCAGTGATGGTTCATAAGTCACCAAAGCTATTAAATTAATTTACTATACAGTGAACAATGTTTGATAAAATGTAAAATGATTAGAGTAATTAACAGGTTCATAACATTCTTTAACTACTTACCTATGCTACTAAAAACAATTACATAGAGTCACAAATACCTAGCTGTCATTAACCATACTGCTCCCTAGTCCTATTATAATGTCGTCTCTATCATCTACAGCGACTCCAATGGCGGCCTTTCCAGCATTACTTTAGCTGTCCTAAAATGTATTCTCTATCATCTAAGGGACCCCAAAGGCAACATTTCCAATGGTTCAGAGTAACCTGAGTATGTAAACATATGTAATTACAGATATTTCAGACCATTAAAAATATATTATAGATTAGACAAATTATAAAGAGAATAGACAGTGCAAGATGTTAGATAGTGAGTGATTTTGGCATTTGCTGGTGCTTTGCTTTGCTGGTGCAGAGCCTTCATTAGCTGTGTGGAATTATTAGATAATTTCTGGACAAATATCTTTGTCAACTATAATGATGACAGATGTCACTAAGAACCCTGAGTCAGCTCTCCTGCAATTGTGTTACACTTGACAGACATACAGCATCTATAAACCCTAAAACATTAACAGATAATTACATGATATTTTTCTTACAATGCAGCTATTTTCAAATGATTCTTCTTACGGCCAGCTCACAACAGATTTTAACAATGAGACAAAAATCTGCAATTTAACTGTGCATAAATGAAATCCAAAGGACATGGGGAGGTTACAAAAAGAAAGAAAAAATATGAACTTGCCTGGATAACTCAGAGATTTCATATGACCTGTCTATGATTGCCTTTGGAGCTGCTACAGCAATTGTGAGCAAGAGCGGTTTGTGTAATGGTGACTGAAAGATATGGAATAAACAACCAAACATTAGAGCTTAAAATTCAAATCTAATATAAAGAGAAATGGAAATATTAAGAAGGACATACAAACAGACCTGACAAACTATATGAATAACTAAATTAGTCTTGTGACTGTACATATCAGAGAACATGTGGTCTACAAATAAAGGGGAACAGCTGTGGATTCTTTGATACTTCATGGATATGGCTCCACAACAAGCACACCAAACTAAAGATGGAGGATTGCAAAGAGTGAACAGATGTGATGAGCAAAATCCAATATTTGCTGACCACACCTCCATACCCATACCTCAGAGCTAAAGGATTGAAGAATGTTTCATCAATTATGAATAGAGCTAATTATATTCCACAAAAAATATAAAATTCCCATGTATACCTTAAATTCTTGGTAGAGATGCTGAACAAGTCTTGTGAACCATCTCTTCTCCTGCCTGTTTCTCACCAACACAGGCCATGCAGGGAATTCCCAGTCAAGGTCTAAGCCATCAAAGCCATATGTTGTGATGAATTTTCGAGAATGTGAGGCAAACCTATATATGCAAAAGAATCAGATTTAAGAACTAAATTCCTTCTTTCTTGTGTTTTCATTGAAACAAGAAAGAATTGGATGTATTAACTGATATCCAAAATCAAAGATTTTTTAAATTTGAGCCCTTATCTTTTTGAAAATCTATCTTATTACTTTCATTGCTATCATTAAAATTGAACAATCATAATTTCTGACATAGAATCCCTAAAAATAACAAACGCATCTAGTTATTTTCTACTAACAAACTTCAAACAATTTCTCACATGCAAATACAAATACTCACACACACACAAAAAAAATATTTACCCTATAAAAATTGCTAAAATGCACAGGTCAAAAAGATAACAACAGTAACAAGGCCAGCACTACTCACTCAATAACTGCTTGGGGATCACGAACAAGGCTTGGGAATCCTCCGTCTGTTGAGCCCCCACCCACAGACAAAAGAACCTTTAGCTCTGGATTCTGCTTCTTCAAGGCAATTACTTCCTTGTATACCTGAAGAATAGATTTTATTCATTATGTCATAGATAGAAAAATTTAGTTGGCAGATGTATTAGGGAAAACTGACTGATTAAGAACAAAGAATTATCTATAATAACCATAGGTGTCTTAGTCATCAATGGAAAAAGCTGTACCACATTCCTAGGAAATTATCAAAACATATATCATTCAAACAATAAATATCACTGTGTTTACCTCAATATCCTCATCATTGGATGGAACAATTACATTGTTCCTGATTCTAGCAAAGGCCACAATAATATGAGTACAAATAAAGGGATCGATGTCGCTCACAGATAAGGCTTTCACGGTAATATCACCACCCCCTTTATTAGGAATAGCATAATAGCAGACCTGATGCATCTTGGGTTTAGCTGGAAGAATGAGAAATCAATTAGATTTCAAAACATTAATTCTGTTGAACATACATATATTTTTCATCATTCTTTTAAAGTAAGACTAATGAAACAGGGTCAA